AGATTTAGGGTCCTGAGAGGCTAGGCTCTGCCCGACGTTTGCCCTGAAGCATCAGAGACTCACCTTGCGCTAGGCCTTCCAGCATTCCAGCGAGAGCCTGCTTCATTCTTGTTGCTTGATTACTTCATTGTTGCATGCGCATTTTTCACGGGAGGCTTGCCCTTTGAATTAACAAGCCGGGCTTGACTTCAGTTTTCGTAGAAGTAATTGCTGCCTGCATGCTGTGCAAGTATTGGATTGTAATATTTGTTCGGGCTGTTTAAATTTCCATCAAGGGCCGGATGAGGTAGTCAAACAAACCCGACAGGTCCGGACACCCATCACTTGTGATTGTAGGTGGAAAATACAGTGCTGGCCTTGAAGTTCTGAAGGGGGAATGCCTTGTGCACATTTGGGAAAACAGCACGATTCTCTCCCTGTCCGGGCTGCACTGTTTTGCCACATGGTGCCTGTTATGCGCTGCCCGGACGCATGCTTTGCCGTTAGTTTACACTTGCTATTTGTTTGGGCTGGGGCTCATGCTTTGGGGGGGGATACTTGTGAAAACGACTTGTGTAGAGCAGGCTGGCGAGAATGCAGCGTTGGCACTTCTGTAGCTTTCGGTCCGTCCTGAAGGGCTTTGTGCCATGTTTGAGATGCTTTCATGTTGATGCCAGGCATTGAGAGCTTCCCCGCCCCTGAGTTGGAAGGACACTTCCCATGGGTTTGGCGAGGCCCCCCTTTCCCCTGCAAAATTCAGACATCCAAATAAACAAACATTGGCATGTTGAGGCAGTAGACCTGATTCATTGCTATTGGTAGACGCAGTTCGTCGCCATTGGCGATTGCATCGGGCGATGGCATGTCCGCTTGCTGGAGCTTAGGACTTGGCCCCGCTTGATGGGTAGCTTGTTCTCAATATGTCATAGATTTACCCCGCACCGCGGGGTTCGCAATTGCGCGTAGGTGTTAAACAGCGTGCTCTGGGCCCGGCTTGGGACATGGTCCTTCGGTCAGGCATTGTTTGCGTTCATTGGGCTTCCGAAGCTGGTCTTGCGATCAGCCACGAAACCAGCGCTGTTTTGGTCAGGTGATCAACGAGAAGCTCCAACTGCCAAAGAAGCCGACGGTTGTGCAGCTGCGGTTGTCGCAGCTTGTTGGGTAGAAAGCTGCCCCCTGCTTCGAAACACTGTCCAAGGCTGAACGAGTCGGAGGACTAATGCTGTATGGAAATACTTTTTCATGTGTAATAATGCAGCAGTTTGTTCTAAGCGCTTGGCAACACTATTGGCCAACGACGCACACTCACTTTCTGATGTGTTCGGCCGGCATGAATTGGCTGCCATGGACTTTGCCGGTTTCACTATCCTCAAGGCAGGATCTCGAGTTGGTTCTTCGTGCTCACGGGGTTGCCTTGCCGAAGAATGGGCCTTTTGCTGCTGAGACAGGGATCGCAAGTCACAAGCGTTTCTTCTAGCATCCTTTCCGTGTTACATGCCAAGTTGCTATGCATCTCTTCGGCCTGGGCCAGCCGGCCCAGCTGGGACATTTGCAGGAGAATGAGGCCAAAACCCCCAAGCGCGCTTTTGATGCTGTGGGGTTCTAACTTTTTGTTTTCCCTTTGTGACAATTCAGCAAGCAATAGACAGCAGACTGAAACCACCGTTGAGACGTGTGGATTTGCTCGACCCTGGTGATTTCGCAAGAAGCAAGGCTTCGCTGAGGTTGGAAGTTCCGCCTCAAAAGGAAAGCCCGGACCCCCCCAAGCAAGAAACGCAACGTGTGGTGCCGCATGGCGCTTTTGGCGTCCCTATTGATATAATTTGACGACCGGTGTTTACATCATATTTTGCAACTAGCTGATCAGCGCTGAGGATGTGTCAAAGCAACTTGTGGATGGGATTCGGAGATGGTCTTAAGTCTGTGACTCACCATTTTGGAGAATGTTTGAGTAGAACACCACAGCAAGCGTGCTGCAATACAGCCAGCCCAAATTGCCTCGGAAGCCGCGAGCAAGTCCTATTCAGAACAATACGGGTTCGACAGATTCGTGCGCAGACTAGAGCTTTAAATCCATTAGTCATGTTCGGTTTTGTCGCCCGCGGGCTTCTGAGGCGTTTGTCCAGCCCGGCGGCGCGCACAGGCCGACCCTTAACGCCAGGGCAGGTAGAGGTCAAAATCCGTCATTGTCGGCTGGAAGCATTGGCAAATGTTGCCCGTGGACTCTGCACTGGCATTTGGATGTGACCTGTCTTTGATTTCAATGGTCATCCAGCTCGTAGCTTGCCAAGGGGCTTGTTTACAACCGCGTGGTGTCGCTTCCGCATGTGAGAGCTCGTGAGTTTCGCGTCTGAGCATTCAAGGAAGCCTGAGCCGATGGCGCCTGAAAGTGTTGCTCGCAGACATCATGGACGTTTTTTGGGAGCGGAGAAGCCGGACAGGCCAATGATGCCATGAGTCGTGTCTGTGCGCCCTCCCCAGGTTTTCTTGAGGTTGCCTGGAAGCGCATTTTCCTACAGCTTGTGTGCTGGCGGCAGCGCTAGACGCCAGAGCTGGAAGCTGCAACCTTTGCCAGGGAAAGCCTGCGGCATTGCCGCCTTGGGGGTGAACTCTTGGGCCTTGATGGCATTGTTGCAGCATGTGTGCAGCCTCAAAGGGGCGGGGGTTCACGCAATACCGGAACACTGAAGTGGACCCATGCTGAGACCAATGCGGATGATATGTTGCCTTCTCAATGCGCATCAGATCAGCTAGAAACTCACACTATGCTCTTCAGACGTACAAGTGCTGGATGTATTGTTTCCCTTGCTGCCCATAGGCCACCTCAGATTCCCTGTATTCAACTCGGCCTTGGCAGGCCGGAAAGAAATTGGGAGTGACACTTCAGGATTTCAGACATGCAGAGGCCACATCACCCGCTGGGGATACGGTCACAAGTCTCAGCTTTTGTCGGCCGACAGGTTCGTGGCATAGCTTGGCACCTGGGATTCCCGAGCGCCACTTTTCAAGCGAGGCGCTCTCTCGCGAAGCGCGGCTTGTGGTGTGACAGGCCCTCCGCAATTCTTGGACCCCAGAGGACAGCACACTCCTTCCGAATCAAGCCCAGATGGACGGTCCGTGTTGGTTTCACCTTGTTGGGAATCATTGGGAATCATCAAGCTAGAATCTACCCGACTTTCACGTCACAGCATGCTTGCCTTGGCAACAAGCTGCACCACATGCCAGCCTAGCCTTTGCGTACGTCCCTGTAGCGCAAAATACTGTAGATGGTTAGACGTTGCGCCCTGTGAGCAGGGCATGATTCGAGGAGCCTGAGGTGCCCACATTCGCCAAAGCGTTTGTTGGATAAGTCATCGGCTCGCAGGGCGCAGTGACATGCAATACTAGAGATTAGTGGTGCCGCCGGACTTGAATTGACGGTTCATGCACGCACCTGCTCTGACCTTCACAAGTGACCTTCCCTGACGTTGTTTGCGAGTTCACCTGTGCGTGCATCTCTGACACCATCTAGTCCATGGTGGACCCCGGTTTGCTGGTGGTTTGGATTGGGCTTGTGGGGTTGATAGATTGGTGGATCGAAGATTATGTGGCTTAAGGGGATTTCATGCTCCAGGGTGGAAGGAAAGAGGGCCCATAGGTCCTCCTGTACAGCTAGTCTTTTGGTAGTCAGTTGCCCAAACCGAACTGACGTTTTGACCGTTTGGGTAGCTAATTGCACAATTTCGGCTGTTTGGCATGCCAAAGGCTCAGCTTTGATTGCTGGGTCCTGCAGATAAGTGAGGGAAATGGGAGTTAACTATTAGAGCTGTTCACCGACATATTTGCTTGACAACTCGGAAGGTCGAGCAGGGCTAATCCGGCAAGCGAGACGGACGCATGGGGCCATTTCAGAGCACTTTTCGTGAACCGTTTGAAGTTTCACTGATTTGCATGTTGAGCTATTGAAACTGGTTTGCCTGGGCAGTGCATTCAGACTTTGTTCAAAGTCTAGATCTTGGTCCAGATTTGGGGATGGCCCCTTGCAAACAAAAGATGCGCCTCGCCTATGTGTGTAACCACCGGCTCAGCCCACTTGGTGCTCAGAACCATTGACAGGCGAGATATCAAATGAATGCCACTGCTGTCCGGCAACTGGAAAACCAATTTTTGGGTACCAAGCTGTCGAAAACTGTTTGTATTTGCTTGCTTGCTTTGCTTTGCCTTGCTTTGCTTTGCTTGCTTGCTGCTTGTTTGCTGGGGCTTCCAAAATTAAATGCTGTGATACATCGGTGTTTGAGGCACCTTGCTGATGCAGCTTTTGTGCAAGGTGCCATAGGAATGTCTTCTTGGCTTGTTGTGTTGCTTGCTTGATTTCCTCCAACTAAACAGGGTGTGACAGCTGCACAGGCGCTTCGTACGCTGAGCTAAGCTCCAAGTTAAATTTGCTTGGACTGCAGGTACTTCGAGCAATTCCATTTATGTTCAACTGATCGTTTGTCCCCTGGTTTTGTTGGGTCAGGGTGCGGATATGGGCATGCATTATGTTGGTTCTTGTGTGCTAATGAGTGGCTGTTGATGCAGTGGGCCCCAGACCACCTTTTCCGAAGCCCACGCGTGGGCCGGGTGACCTTGGTTGTGCATACTATGACGCCGGATATGAGCGTTTTGCTTGTGAGCATGTAAGGGGGGAGAGAAGAAGCACCAACAGAACAGGGGCATGTGCTTATGGGACGCCTGTCATGATGGAGTGGATTTCTTGGATAGTACGTGCTGTAGTTCAAACTTTAGTGTGAGCACCCCCTCCTCTCCCACAAAAGTAGGCATGAGTGACCCCGCGCAACGCATGATTCGTGCTGCATGCTATAGTAGAAGTGATCATGAACCACGCTCCGTGTTTTTTATTTATTCATTTACTTTTGCGAGCCACAAGGAACCCCGGCAAAACACACACACACACACACGTACAGACACAACGGTTGAAGCCATAGACAATCTGCCGCCAAAAAACAACGGATATCGCATGAGTGCCCACAAGCCTCCAGGTGCAAAGGCTGCATTGATGGGGCTGCGCTTCCACAGGAGACCGATTGGCCGAAGGCTGAACTGGTGCAGCATTGGTTCAATCTAAATGTGGTGAATAGTCTCAGCTCCTACCCTTCAATGATCTTACAAAATTCAAAAGTGGCGGAGGGAGAGAGCTCCCTTAGCCTGCTTGTCAATAGTGAAGGATGGGTTGTTTTGGCGATGTGTTCACCATCAAGCTCATTCTTAAGCTGATGGGGGAGGGGGGACCAGATGGGACCAGCATCATTTTCAGCAGTGGGCTGATCTGTTCATCATTGGCGGCTTCCTTGCAGCCCCGTGCCACGCTTTGCAATCGGTTCCTCTCGAGTTGCACAGCAAGTGCTTCTTCCAACATCTTCCAACTCCCAAGGCTGGAGAATGAATCAAGTAATTGATGAACAGAATTTGGAAAGCAATGGGTCTTGACCAAATGCCGGGTTTCGGGCGATGTGTTGTTCATGGTATGCGACTTGGGGTCCTGAGGAAGAAAGCGACAGGGGTCCGTGTCCATCACAAATATGAATACAAAGATGTGTGCAAAATTAGATGAGCACAGTTGCTAAACATTTGGATATGAAATCATGTCAGGAATTCATTACAGAACCGGGATCAACTTGGCTATGCGCAGCATTACGTGCTTGTTGAACTCGAAAGTGAGACTACGCTGGGTCTCTGCCACATACACAAACTCAATGTGAAGCTGATTGACAATAATCAAATGCCAATACAATGGATCAATTTTGAAAGTCCTGGTAGTTCCCCCTTGTTGCCCCACCCCCCCCCCCCCCGCGAACACACCCCAGAAGACAACTGCGCATGCTTTCCAATCCCAAGGCGGACTTGACAACCAGGGAGCTGCCAAACAGAACAGCGGCATTCTGGATGTGTTTGACAGCTTTGGCATTCTGACTTAACGAACCACGACTGTGTGGCTCCTGTGAAGGATGGCATGAGGTGCCTTGAGGTGGCTCGGCATGACAAGAGCATGAATAGCTTGGCTCAAGCACATCACTTGTCAGTAAAACGGAGCGCTAGACTTTTTGCACCTTTGCAAAGAGCCTGTTTTTGCTTACGGCACCTCCTTTACACTCCGCAACTCCGTCAAACACAGGGTTTGTCGGTCTGGCTGAAAACAGGACACCGCAAGGAAGCCACGCTTGTGGGACATGCAGGTGCATAAAGGCACGCATGACCAGTTTGCGTGCTTTTCTTGAGCCATGCCAGCATTGTGATTTGGATTGCTGTCGCACGGTAGGAAGGAGGACGTGATCTTCCGAAAGCACTTGCCGGGCATCAGTACTCTCGCGAAGGCGTGGGCATGTTTGGGGAAGCCAGCGGCTTGCTTCGGCCGAGTGCCTTTCTGAGGGCCCTTGGGACATGTGCAACCGCAAGAGCACCACCGTTCAGGCCCAATACCGTTCAACGGTCACCGGCAAGTAATAGATTATTCTTGGCCAGTACCGTGCATGTGTTCAGCATAGTTGCAAGCGATGCAGATCGAGCTCAGAGCCAAAGTCCAGTTTAAAAGTATCTGCACAAGACGGGCTGATACGAATAACGCGAGAGGGGCTACCACAACCGGAACAGTATGCAATAGTCGGGTTGCTCACTCTGAGTTCTGAGCTGTTTAGTTTGGAACTGCTCTGAGTTGGTTGCCCAGCCAAAGGTCAACGCTATCCGCACAGCAATCATGGAGAACCTGGCAGCAGGCTCAGCTATCATCCACGTACATGGGTTTGAGCGTAGTGTGGAGGCTTGTCCAATGCAGAAGCTGCGAACGCGGGCATTTGTTTTCCCAAAGTAAGGGCCAAGTCCAGCGAGCTTCCAAGTCAGCCCCTGAAAACACCAGCGGGCCATGCTTCTTCCCGGATGCGAGGTTTAGGTCCATTATTGTTGAGTTTATGAGCTGGTTGCATTTTGAAATGCAACCAACTCTAAAATGCAACCCGCTACGAAGCGAAGGCGGCCAGCATGACGTCCACTTTATTGCTAGGCATCACCCTTTCTGCACTCCTAAATTGACCACAACCACGCCAATCACAAGAGCACCAGTGTGCCAGTCGGAGGCTCGAAACGGACATGGGTTTCACAGCTGTGACTGCCCTAAAGCCTAAAGGACATGGCTCGGAGGCCAACACTTCCCTGCTAACATTTGTCTTCACTGCTAGCTCAGATTGTGAAATCCCTGAACTGGTAGCGCGTGAAAGAGCCGCAGAGCCAACACCAAGATCACAAACGTCGTTTTTTGCCGTTTGCAAATGGTGTAGAGAATGGCTGAGCGCTAGTCTGCGGGTTGAATACTAGCCAAGCACCCCAAAGAGTCAACACATCCTGCTTCCTCACGACTGGCGTGCTCAGGTGAGTCCTGCAGAGGCGAACTCGCGCGTGCCTCGGGGAGCCACAGCGTGTCGTAGCGTTGCTTGTGCGTCAACTGCGTTTCCTTTCGCAGTACAGCACGGAGGCTGCCAATGCTGAAGAATGCATTACAGAGTTACAGGAACCCACTGACACAGTCAAACAAACACTAGCTGGCAGCCATACCGGTCTGTTTTTCTGCGGGACCTCGAAGAACCAGCTAGTTTCAACGAGAGGTTTGACACAACATCATCACGTCATGTTTTTACTTGGGAGATTCTCCAGATAGCTAACTCGCGTTCAGGCTTTGCCCGGCTATTCAATGGAGATCGGCAAATGTTGTTGTTGCATTACCCAATCACAAAGGGTCCCAATTTGCTAACCGAAGCAGCCCCGTGCTCAAGCTCAAGCAGGGATACGTCAAAGATGAAATGGCACGCCTTGGCAGCCGGGAGGGACGTTTCTCGGTCAACGAGTCAGGAACGGACAGGAGGTTCTTCTTTGGGAGGATGCCGATGCCGAGAACGATTTCGAGGACTTGCTTGAGTCTGCTTGAGAGCATGCGCAGCATGTGAAAAGAAGATGTCTTATCAATGACGACCTTCCCAAGCAACAATCCAAGCACGTTTGGCAACTTTCGGGGTTGGGGGGTGTAGGTTTGGAGGCTTGTTCAAGTAGCCCTGACGTTTGCGGCACGGTGTTGAACAATTTGATCTCAATTGAATCCGAGGTGTATTTCAATTAGTGATTGGCGGCCTTGGGCCAATTCTTCTCATTCTGGAAGGCAAAAGCTGGCTTGCTCATTGAAGCTGGCTTACTTGATGCCGTGATGGTGTCAACCAGTGTCAACTGCTTGACGGGCCTGGACCCGGATAGGATAGTATCCTTTACCGGTGGGTTTCGCTATCTTGCAAGCGGCAACAACACATCACGCCTTTCAAACTTCATCAAAGTTCCACAAGGAGGAGGGAGAGTCGCAGACCGCTGCGCAGACTGCCATGTGTTGAGGACCTTATTCAGCTTGTGCGTGATGCGCCAAGCATTGAGGAGGTTGGTGGCCCGGAGGCTCAGCACAGATGGGCTACGTGCGCCGAAAGGTCAATGGGGCAACCGTCAGCCATGAGCCGAGCTGGTCCTCACTTCAACGGCCCTCCAAGTGCCCATGGATAGTCTTGATGACATGCGTAGGCAAATGCCCTTGATGCCGAAGACCTTGGACTACTGGACATTCTTTTTATTACGGGCCCCACTGAAGCGATTTGTGTGACCTGCCTATAGTTCTGGCTTGTCGCCGATGTCAATGCCGCGAGGCGCCTACGGCGCCGAATCCAATCCGGCTGGAGCCTTACTGTTGCTTCAAAGGTTTAGCTGGGCTAGCTGTTGGGTCGTGTTGCAGCGCTGCTGGCTGGCGCCAAGCATTGTCACACCGGCTCGTCCTGGTAGCGAAGCTGTTTGTTCGCAGCCCGGCAATTCAGTAGACTTGTTGACTCCGCATATCAGACGTGCCCTATTTCGGAGCAGTTACCATTTGAAGGGGTTGAGATAAGGGAGGTCAATCGTTATTGAAGTTGCGAGGAGCCGAATCGGACAATGGACATCAGCAATGTTCATGCTTTGGCTGTTGCTCACGTACCCAGCCTTTGGCTCACAACGCTGCTTTCAAGTAGGGCTGGCTGGCATCATGACGCCCAGTTTTGGGCTCATGACAGTAAGCTCATGACAGGATGGTTGGGGTTTGTAAGCATTCTGCAGTCGATATGAGTTGGACACTGGAACTCGTACTTTGACGGCTTGAGTTGCTGCTGCGGACTGCCTGAATTGCCACAGAGAAGTTGGCGGGTGGATTGCTGACTAGAGAGGCGCTTATTTGTGTTACACATGCACTGCTGCCAAGCTTGAACTGTGAAAAGCTCATCTCATATCAAAACCCCGAAGTTTTGACATCCTGACCCCGGGCGATGGAAGCATCAAAGCTTGACCAAGCTTTGGATCGCCTACGAAAGAGCACTGATGACGCTGCATGGACTGGGCTGAGGTGCGGATTCATGGGGCATGTCTGGGGCTGCCCACTTTTGCTGGCTTGAAACATACTTTCATGTGATTCTCAGGGGCTAGCAAATGTCGGCGAGTGACAGGGATCCGAAGCCGGCAAGTGATTTATGCAGTGTCATGCAGTGTTGTGCATTCCTGCCCGCTCTATGTCGAAGCCTTTGGGGAAGACGGCTTGTGCGTCAGGGCGGTGCTTCAGCAGGGCAGCTCAGAGGAGGAGTTGCGGAAGGTAGCGGAGCTGCTACGTAAGGAGGGGATGGCATGTGTGTAATGCCTCATTTCGTCAGTTTGACGGGCTCGGAGTCGCCCTTTGGCTTCCCTTGCCCCGTTCTTGTTGAAACACTCATTCGCCCACTATCAGAAATGGGGCTAGGTCACTCCCTTGCATCTCCAAGCCACCTTTGGTATGCGAGCATGCCCCGATGAGTCGTCAAGCGTGGCACATAATATTTGTGCATGCGCGAGTATGCCTCAAAGCTTTGCGCAGCCCCCCTCCTCAAACTCATCGGAGAAACCATTTAGAATTTGTTCTCCCCCAAGTTTGATGTTTGTGAAGGCCCTCGGGTACCCCGTCAGCCAGGATCAGCCCATCCCCGAAGATGTCGCAGCCCTTTGCGCGCCTGAGATGAGACGGGGGGGGCTGTGGCAAGGACGTTTCCTTCGGCCATGGGCGGCTTTTGTCACCGTTGCCCTCCTGCAAAACATGGAGTCAGAGGTTTACATGTTGAGTTGATTCTGAAGGAGAGCCGGCAGCAAGCTACAGGCCTCAAACAAACAAACTTACCGGAGCAGCCCCCAAATATTCCATTTTGCATGTCGTATTTCCTCCGGCCGAGCAGTTGATGTCTGGACGCGGGCAGCCTTGGCCTAGGGACAGTCGGGATTGCCACGTGCCAGGTGCGAAACATTCAGACTTTGCTCGCCGATTCGTCGGCTTCAGCCGCTGAAGCTCACAGCGTGGCCCGGCCAAGGTTTGCCACGGAGTCAATGGACATGCTCCCCAAAAGTCCCCAAGCACCGTGGGAAGCCCACGCACCTTACAGCAGCACTGTCACTCACATGTCTTAAACACTCTCAACCTGTGCCAGAGCCGCCACCACAGTGTTCGCTTCAGTGCACCAATCGTTTACCTTTCACAAAAGGTCGCAACCTCCCTAAGGCCACCCAAACCCGCCATACAGTTGGAGACGTCGATTGTGGACGCGCCCATCGCTTTGACTGTCTGGCCAGAAGGTCACAAGTAGCAGGTAAGCGACTCAGAGACGTGCATGTCTGTGTCTGTGTTTGTTTCTGTGTCAGTGTCCGTGTCCTTGTTTGTGCATGTGTCTGCTTGGTCAGCTCAAGCCTGCACACGGTTGCCTCCCCGGTAGAGATCAATTGTGGTAAAATCAGTACTGACTTGGCATTGGCAGGGACGCCTTAGTTACAGTAGCACATGAATTCATCTTGCTTCAATCATTAAATGATCCGTGTTGATGCATTCAAGGGGTAGGTCCTGAGTTTGGAGGTTTGCGGGTTCGATCCTTCGATTCCACGTCATTGTCCTTGAGTATATGCGTTTGCTGGTGGCTTGTTGAAGCAATGCTATCGTTATTCTAAGCAAACGGTTGCAATCTTACATTTGTGCAAGATCCTTTTTTGCATGATGAAGGCACTCTCTTTGTCAGGGCCGAAGGCTGCGCTGCGGTTGTTGATTTATGCACCCTGTTTTTTGGACCTCCAGGCAAACGGAAGCGAGACTGGATTCAGGCCATGGGCGGCCCCTTGTGCTGTCCAAGCAAATCACCGAATGCGGACTCTGGATTTTGGCTTCTAGCAACCACTGAGAGTTGACAGGTGTGGTTGGCATGCCCTCTCGTTTGACTCATCCCCTTGCCTCGACGAGTAGGCGCGTCTTTTTGCGAACCCTTTGTAGGGTTGGTTTTCAAGGCAAACCAAAAGGACCTGCCGCTCCCGCTGTGTTTTGATCGGGGGCTCCGTCATTTGGAGAACCCGGCCGAGCGGCCGACCCAGGTCTTCCAGATGCTGCACCGGTGCCTGCAGCACGCAGCGGGCGATGCGGAGCTGGTGCAGCTGCTGGCGGAGCGCTTGCGGCGCTGCAAGGCGCTGCAGAGCTGCGCCTCGGATCCATCCGGGGCCAAAGGAACTTCGCGCGGGGTGGGCCGTGCTTGTTTTCAGAACCCAACTCCCACCCACCTCCCCCCGACAGCAAAACCCAGAGAACGGCAGAGAACAGCACCGTTTCCCGTTCTTCCCTTGGGGTGGTTAGGCCCCCCAAAAAATCAAGTTTCACGTTGGCTTCCCTTTAGATGGAGGGTTGGGGGCGGGAGGGAGCTAGGGCCGCATAGGGCCGCATGTTTGAAAGATGCCGGTTTGTCTCGTTTTGGTTTCACAACTGCACGGCCCCAACAAAGGTACCCTCGAAAAGATACACCCCCCCCCCATGTGTGTATACAGTACATCTAAAGAGGACCGCATATTTTGACCCCTTCCCCAAGAAACTTGGATAGACTGGACAGAATGCCATTCTGGCAAGCAATGTTGCGGCTGCTTCTTGTTGTGATGTTTCGGGAATCCTGGTATTGCAACTTGGCTTTCCCTGGCCGCACTGAATCAGGTATATAGCGCGACATTCCCAGATTCTCATGCCTCGGCACTAGTCCAAAGCGGAGTCTACCCAGGATGCCTGCTCCAAAGGAGAACAATTGCAAGCCTGCAACATCCTGCCACCCTCGGAAGCACACTTGCTTGGGTGGAGGGAGTCCCCACCCTGCTTGTATCTCCCGCGTTGGCACATGAAGTCTCTGATTTGTCATGTGCCTCAGAGGTAAGAACCAAACTCCAGTTGGCGCCCGAATTTCCGGGCACGTGGAGAGTGCAATGTGATTCAACATGCACTAGCTGCAGTGAAGCGTTGCCCGATCTGGTTCCCGGTGCCCAGGCACGCAGATCCTGCTTTGCTTACAAAGACTCTCAGAGCAGCAGCCGCAAGTCGTGAAGGACAGCCCGGCAGTGGCAGCTGCGATCACGCCGGCACTGCAGGTCCTCTCCGACTCTGTGCGCCTTGGCCAAGAGCTGTCACACTGTTGGATCTGGCAACCGGCCGTTTCCCGGGTGGTATGTGCGCGCCCTGAAGCTGCATCAAAGTTAAGGTTTGTTTGCAAAACTTAGTGGCAAGCGCAGAAGTAGCCCGACTTGCTCCGTCAAACATCCTTATTGATATGTTGATGGAGACAGCTTTGTCTTTCTGTTTCGTTGCTCGGGCCTGTGCATTGTGTTCTTCATCTTGAACTGGTCCAGCAGTTTCGCATGTGTCTGATTGGATCTTGTTTATGTCCACCTATGACTACAAACAACACTCCCCTGAATAAACTTATGTAGTTGGTCCGCACTGATTAAAACCCCCCCGAAGCAAAGTTGTTCCAACATATGTGGGAAAACACTCTTAAAAAAGCATCAAGTGGGCCAAAGCTTCGTCCTGGTTCCCCTCTTCAATCAAATGAACATCACTCCACTCCTATTTGAGGCCATCTTTGAAATATATGTCTCTTGAAGTTTGCCCCCTATGATCTCAAACATCTATCGTTTGGAATTCAAAAAAGAAGCTCCCAAACTGCAAATTAACAGGCTCTTGTTTAAAAGTGACCCCCTAATCAACCCTACAAAGGGTGTAGCACTTGGGGTTGGGGAACAAAACACATTATTTTAGGGGGCCCCCTTAAATAAAGATTCCTGGTTCCACCCCCCAAAATGAATAAATATAAGGAGGCTCCAGCACTACTAAATCTTTTGCAAACTCAAATCCACCAATACTAAACCAATTGGAGACCCAAACCCAATCTCCAAAGGAGGCTCCAGCAATACTAAATCAATTGGAAACTCAAATCGACCAATACTAAACCAAGTGCAAACCCACATTTAATCTCAAAGGAGGCTCCGGCAATACTAAATCAATTGGAAGCACAACGCAATCCTTAGCAAGCTGGGAGAACTGTTTGGAGTAGTTGGCGGGGCGGGGGGGGTGTATTTTTCAGAGGTAGACCTCGATATACTTTAACGCCACTGCCAACTTGAACAGGAAACAACTCCCCAATGCACGCATAATTATTGTATTGTTCATTCTCTTGGAGCCGTCCAAAAGGAACGAATTGTCAACTTGTCAGAGAGAAATAGCTGGGCCGTGGTTCCCATGGGCTCCTGTGGGTTCCCTGTAGTTCGGGTTTTTTGTAGGGTTCTCTGTAGGGTTCCCTGGGTTCAATTAGTCCGTCGGGTTTTTCCTGGGCTCCC